TGACTCAAAAAAAAAAGTAGTTTCTTTCTTTCTTTCTTTCTTTTTTTTTTTTGAGTCGGAGTCTCACTGTGTCGCCCAGACTGGAGCGCAGTGGCATGCTCACAGCCACCCCACCGCAACCTCGACTTTCTGGGCTCAGGTGATCCTCCTGCCTCAGCCTTCCAAGTAACTGGAACCACAGGCATGTGCCACCATGCCCGACTGATTTTTGAATGTATTGTAGAGACAATGCAGCACCATGTTGCTCAGGCTGGTCTGAAACCTGTGGGCTCAGGTAGTTCTCTCGCCTCTGCCTCCCAAAGTGCTGGGATTTACAGGCATGAGCCACTGCACCTGGTTAAAGCAGTTTTTAAAAAATGGATTCTACTCTTGGTGAAGATGCTGTGAATGTTGTTAGAATGACAACAAAGGACTTAGAATATTATACATACTTAGTTGTCGAGCAGCAGCAGGGTTTGAGAAGATTGACTCTAATTTTGAATGAAGTTGTACTGTAGGTTAAATTCTATCAAACAGAATCACATGCTATAGAGAAATCTTTTGTGAAAAAAATAGGTTTTTTGGTTTTTTTTTTGAGTTGGAGTCTTACTCTGTCACCCAGGCTGGCACACTCCTGGCCACCGCAGCCTTGACCTGCTGGGCTCAGGCGATCCTTCCACCTCAGGCTTCCAAGTAGCCAGAACTACAGGCATGTCTACCACGCCCAGCTAATTTTTGATTTATTGTAGAGACGAGGTCTCACCATGTTGCCTAGGCTGGTTTCAACCATGTGGGCTCAGGCAGTCCTCTCGTCTCGCCCTCCCAAAGTGCTGGAATTATAGGCTTGAGCCACCGCCGTCCGGCGGAAAAAAAGAGTCAATTGATGGGGAAAAATTCATTGTTGTCTTAATGTAAGAAATTGCTACACCCCTCAGCCATCAGCAACCTCCACCTTGATCAATCAGCAGCCATCAACATTGAGGTAAGACCTTCCCATCAGCAAAAAGATTACGACTCACTGAAGGCTTAAATGGTTGTTCACGTTTTTTAGCAATACATTTTAAATGTTTATTTATTTTTGTGTATTTTGGCCCAGGCTGGGGTGCAGTGGCATGCTCATGGCTGCGACAGCCTTGACATGCTGGGCTCAGGCGATCCTTCTGCCTCAGCCTTTCAAGTAGCTGGAACCACAGGCACATACCATCACACCCAGCTAATTTTTTTGATTTATTGTAGAGATGAGGGTCTCTCCAATTTGCTCAGACTGTTCTTGAACCCCTGGGCTCAGCCATTTTCTTGCCTTGACCACCCAAAGTGCTGGGATTACAGATGTGAGCCATAGCTCCTGGCATAGCAATACATTATTTTTAAATTAAAATATATACATTTTTTAGACATAATGTTATTGCACACTTAATAGACACTTGGAAGGCTGAGGCGAAAGGATCGCTTGAGCCCAGCAGGTTGACCCTGGGGTGACTGTGGGTGTGTCACTGCACTCTAGCTTGGTCAACAGAGTGAGACTCCAATGAAAGAAAGAGAGAGAGAGAGAGAGAGAGAGAGAGAGAGAGAGAGAGAGAAAACCATTGAGAGTGTTTCTAAACTTAGAAGAAAATCCATTGTGAGAAATTTAACATAAATCTTGTTGTGAAGTTTTAATAATTAATATTATGGCATTTATGTATTACTCCAGAAAAATGTAGAAACACTGCATCTATGAAGCTAGTTTTTTTTTTTTTCCTCCTGAATTTAAGGTGTTGCTGTGGCCGATTGATTGGAGACCACCCTGGAATAGATTATGCCTGGACCATCTCAGCCACCAAGGGTAATGAAAATGAACAATGGTCTGTTGAACAACATACAACGAAAAGCCCTACAGATACCTTTGGCATGATTAATTTCCAAGATGGAGAGCACACCTACCACTCTAAGGTTTGCTCATAACCCAAATTGTTTTGCTGGTTTTGAACAAAGAATAACTGCCAAATATGTCTTCCAAACTGTATCTCCAAGTATATAGATAATCAGATAACCTGGTTTTCTGACCTGACCCTTTCTTTCCTTCATTTCTGAGAGGCATTTTACCCTTTCCCAGGTATAGTGTGGCCAGCTCTTTATTTCAGTGACCTCTTTGTTTCAACAAGCGTGTACTCTCTGCAGAAGAAAATAACTTATTGCTCTTGAGACATTTGTCAAAGGGCTGCCTTATACTTAAGGAATGCAAAAAAGTTACTAATAAGGAGCCGGCTTTAGTGAACCATCACCACAGCAATTACCAGTAATTTGTGATTACTTATTCTCCCAAGAGCCTCTTCTTTGGAAGAATATGGGGGGATTTCTCTCTGCATCCACTGAATGATAATACTTGCACTTTCCAGGTCCGTTTTCCTCCTGTCCCTAACATGGTAATTTTGCATATGATTTGCATGGTATTGACAGGTCCACCATCCCTCAGGAGTTTTCTTTTGTGCATGTTAATTACCTGATCCTTTATCAGAGGCAGCTTTTTCTGGGGAAGCTGCAAGCAGACTCCACCTTAGGAAGGCTCTGAGTCAGCTATATCCTGGAGTGTGACCATCAGTTGGCTGGATTTGAAACGTCAGTTCCTAGTAGTGCAATCCTAATAAAAGCCATAATACATTTCTATAATGATTTCCAATCATTAGTTCTCTTGCATTTAACTTTTTGTGCTGATGACTAGTTGGCAGGAAAATTGCCCTCATTCCTCCGCAGCCTTTTTTGAAAACTGATTCTTACAGGACCCTTTGTATAATTTTCCTTTAAGTTTTACTCTTCCTTTTTTTGCTTTTATGTTTATTCTTTTTAAGAGCCAGGGTCTAAATCTGTTACCCAGGCTGGAGTGCAGTGGCATGACCATACATCTTTACAGCCTCAAACTCCTTGGCTCAAGGGATCCTCCTGCTTTGGCTTCCCAAAGTGTTGGATTACGGGTGTTAGGTATCACACCTGACCTTTATTCTTTTTTTTTTTGAGTTGGAGTCTCATTCGGTCGCCCAGACTGGAGTGCAGTTGCCACTCCTGGCCACCGCAGCCTCAACCTGCTAGGCTCCGGCAATCCTTCTGCCTCAGCCTTCCGAGTAGCCGGAATTACAGGCATGTGCTACCACGCCCGGCTGATTTTTTGATTTATTGTAGAGATGAGGTCTCGCTGCCCAGGTGGATCTCGAACCCACGGGCTCAGGTAATCCACTCACCTCAGCCTCCCAAAGGTGCGGGATTACAGGCTAAGCCACCGAGCCCGGCTCTGACCCTTATTCTTCATCAACTTCATTTACTCATTTTTTTCTCCATTCGACAAATATTTATTGGGTGCTTATACTTGCTATGTCCCAAAGAACATCTATTCTGTGTACAAACATTGCTTACAGTCTAGTGAGGGAAACAGGAAATAAATACACAGCTATAAGAGATGGCAAATACTATGAAAATGAAACACTGGCTCTTTGAGAAGATGAAATGGGTAGCTCCTCCTGTTTGGGGGCGCAGTGTGCGTGTGCCAAGGAAGCTGTCTGAAAGTAGGGACAGCTAAGCCGAGATCTGACAGGTAAGGGAGGTGAATGGTGTCCAACGAGGCAAGGAATATGACCACTTTAGACATGAGGGATCACTTGTGTCAAGGCTGAGGGGGCTATGACACATGTAGGAGGTCTGAAACTACAGTTAGACACAGCTCCTGATAATTCATACATTTTTATGCTTAGTGTTAGGCTTTTCTTATTGAGTCTTGATTATTTTTATGTACTTTCTATGACTCGCATTATTATTTGTTTTAAATTGGAATCTTGCTGTGTTGCCCAATCTGGAGTGCAGTAACATGCTCATGGCCACTGCAGCCTTGGCCAGCTGGGCTCAGGTGATCCTTCCGCCTCAGTCTTCTGAGTAGTTGGAACCACAGGCGTGCACCACCATGCCTGGTTAATTTTTTGATTTATTGTAGAGACAAGGCATCACCAAGTTGCCCAGGCTGGTCTTGAATCCCTGTGCTCAGGCGATCCTCTTGCCTCTGCCTCCCAAAGTGCTGGGATTACAGGCTTGCGCCATCACGCCTGGCCTATGACTCACATCTTTAATAGCTGCAGCATTCTGATGTTCAGGAATTCTGATTTTTATTTTATTTTTTATGTCAAAATCTCACTTTGTTGCCCAGGCTGGAAGGCAGTAGCAAGCTCACAGTCACCGCAGCCTCAACCTGCTCAGCTCAGGTGATCCTTCCGCCTCAGCCTTCCAAGTAGCTGGAACTACAGGTGTGGGCCACCACACCCGGCTAATTTTTTGATTTATTGTAGAGATGAGGTCTCGTCAAGTTTCCCCAGGCTGGTCTCAAATTTGTGGGTTCAGGCAATCCTCCCACCTCGGCCTCCCAAAGTGCTGGGATTATAGGTGTGAGCCACTGTGCCTGGTCAGGAATTCTAATTTTTAATTATGAAATAAAGGGATCCTATATTAAGAAGTTCAAAGATGAATGGAAAATTGTTTTCAATTGCTATCATATTCTGGAGGATAATGTGATAATTCCTGTTTGCGTGTATGGAGATCTCCACCTGGTTTCTTAATGTTCTGATTTCTTTTTATGAATATGACTCATTCTTGCTGTTGGTTGGCATATGCTTGAGGAAGGCAAGCTCATCTCAATATTATTTGAATGGTCTGTATATGACTGTATTGACTGGAAGAAAAAAGACAGTCGTGCAATATAATCTTAGGTAAAATGAAAAATAATTCTGGGGCTCTGTGCTGGGTTGAATTTCCCTTATCTTTTATTTTCCTTGAATTAACTATTTGGAGACAAGAGTTTTGGGAATTTATTTTGGAAAAAAAGTTTTTTTTCAGAGGGATCATGTTATATAAAGGAAATGGTTAGAAGGTAAAATTTAGAATAAATTACATATACATGTTTCTGAACCTTAAATTATGCAAATATGTGAAGTGGTCAAGTAAATTAAAAGCCATAGCATTTATGAAAAATACCATTCCATTTATTTCATAAAGGCTTTTATTAACAGGTTTGCCGATATTGTGACTTTGGCCAGTTTTTTGTTTTTTTTTTTTGAGTCGGAGTCTCACTCTGTCGCCCAGACTGGAGTGCAGTGGCCGCTCCCGGCCACCGCAGCCTCGACCTGCTGGGCTCCGGCGATCCTTCTGCCTCAGCCTTCCAAATAGCTGGAACTACAGGCGCGCGCTACCACGCCCGGCTGATTTTTTTGATTTTTTTTTGTAGAGATGAGGTCTCGCCAAGTTGCCCAGGCGGGTCTCGAACCCGCGGGCTCAGGCAATCCACTCACCTCAGCCTCCCAAAGGCGCGGGATTACAGGCTGAGCCACTGAGCCCGGCTTTGACCAGTTTTTATTTAAAAGTATTTCTGCATTACCCAGGCCTTCTGGAACACATTGGTGGGCCAACCATGGAAACCAAAGGAAGCTTTCCCACAGTGACTTGTAATTCCCAGAAGGAACTCAAAGGGGCTGTGGAATCTTTTAAAGTAAATATTTCTAGGACGTGAAGATGAACTTTAAAGAGATCCCATACGCTTCCTTCCAGACTGTGACCATTTCAGCGGTCCTGCTGTGTGCTCATTGTTGCTGTACTTGGCTTGCGTTTTCACTGTTTTCTGCTGATGTATATATGTGTGTCTTGCAGTATATCAGAACTTCTTATGATACAAAGTTGGATCATCTGTTGCATTTAATGTTGAAAGAGTGGAATATGGAACTGCCCAAGCTGGTGATCTCTGTCCACGGGGGCATCCAGAACTTCAAGATGCCCTCCAAACTTAAAAAGATCTTCAGCCAAGGTTTGGTCAAAGCTGCAGAGACGACAGGAGCGTGGATAATCACTGAAGGCATCAATACTGGTAAGGCTGCTTCTTCCTTCCTTGCTTCCTTGCCGGCCTTTCTGTCTTCCCTTTCTTCCTCCCTCCTCGCTCTCTCTCTATTCACTTCCCTCCTCCTTCCTTCCCCTCTCCTCTCTATTCCCTCCCTTTCTTCCTCCTCTATGTTCTCTCCCTCGCTCCTTCCCTCTCTTTCGATTCCTCTTCCTTCCTCCCTTCTCCTCTCTCTTCCATCCGTCTTTTCTTTGCTTTTCATTTTTTCCCCCATGTCACTTGATTTCCGCTCTGCATTACTCCCAGGAGATGTGGTGTTGTAAGGGAGAGAGATAAGAAGCCTAGTGACTGGAAAATAAACCCCAAAGAGTCATAGGTCTTTCCTGGAATGTATTTTTACCATTGTCAAAATACACTTACGTAACATAGCTTTGGATAAATTCTGGCAAAGAAAATAGTCTTTCCCGAGTTTCAGTTTCAGACTATGGTGAGGTTGGAAGGGACATCAAATCCATGCAAGTCTGTAGTGTGTGTGGGCCTGGACTTTAGCTAAACTCATGTAATCATTGTCAAGTTCTCAGACTTGGGAAATCAGTGACGTGAGTAAAGCTTGCTTGAGTGTTATTGGGCATGAGTAGATAATTGCTTCTTTTTTTTTTTTAACTACATGATTGCCAGTACACTCACTATCTCTCACTCTTTATACTCCTTGAAATCTGACATTCAAGAGCTTTATATATGGTCTTTGAACCTTAATCCTTTGCTTTATTGTTTATAAGTTTATAATCAGTGTAGAGTAAATAGTCACCCGGAGACCCTGTATTTATTTTATTTTATTTTTTATTTTACCCAGGAAACTTTTAAAATACGGATGCCCAGACTCTCCCCCAGATAATTTAGAGACTTTCAGGCTGGAGCTTCTGAAGCATGCCTGATGTGCATCCAGGGTTGAGAACGAGTGTTTCTTCTGCCCTTAGCAACCTGTTACTAAAATCTCTTGATTTGGCATGTCTTAGCCAATGTCTCCCATCAAATTCTGCCCAGCTTTAAGATCTACACTAAGAGCCGGGCTCGGTGGCTCAGCCTGTAATCCCGCACCTTTGGGAGGCTGAGGTGAG